TGCCACACGCTTTTCTCTTGCTCCCCACATCTCTCTCTGAAGGTTGCTCATTGATGCACACAGGGGGGCTTCTGCTGGCAGGGTTTGACCCTGCTGCAACACTAACGCTGCTCTGAGGACAATTTTGCTGGGCTCATTTGCCTGTTCCCCTTCTCTGGGTAGTCTCTGCAGGCCCTCAGGTGAGACCAGGAGCAGGTCTGGGGTCCGGTCCTTCCCGGGGGCACCCGAGGACGGTTCTGACATTGTGGTCCCCAGCATCTCCTCTGAAGTGTCCCCAGCTGTTGGTTGTTGTATTCCTGCACATGTTTTTTCGTTTGTGCTTGACTCTATGCTGGCTTTATGTGAGCATACAGAGGTTTGCATGGTTATGACTTGCATAACTGGTAACTGATGTCCCTGCCTTTATCTTGACCCACAAGATCCTTTCACCCATGTCACAACAAAGGACAAAATCAAAAAGCTCTTTTAGTAAGATAAAATTAAAAATAGTAAAATAGATACTGCGTAAATCTTCCATCTCTTCAGATGCTGGAAACCCCACATCTGTGCATCAGCAGCAGATGGTGCCCCGACAGATGTTCCCATGGCTCCCTGTGCAGATCCTGATGGTGGAGCCGTTCCTGCTCCCTCTCACGTGGAGGTGCCATTTATTCTGTGTAACAAACCAGACCACATGTCTTCTCCTGACAGGCTGGGGCATTATTTCTGTCCTAACACCCGCTGGTGTGCAGCACAGACCAGCCTGGGGCACTGCAGCAGGTTCCCTTACAGCGGTCCTCCTGCCAGCAGCGGCACTTCTCCAGCCTGAAGTGCAAGGCCCAAGCAAGAAGAGGCGGGTTTCTCTGGCTCACTAACTCCTTGATTCCAGCATCTTCCACACGGCTGCCAGTACGGTGCAGAGACTGGGTTCCACTGCACCGCCTGGGGAGCTCCTCTGTCCTTGGGAACAGCTCACGGCTGGGCAGGGCGTGTGCAGCCAAGGAGACTCTGCTGCTGGCTCAGGAGCTCTGTGGTTCACGTTCTGAGCGCGTGGCACAGTGAGGAGCATAAAAAGGCTGTGCCGTGGTGGGATGCTTACTGCCCAGGGTCTCTGTGCCAGTCCCTGCTGAGCTGCTCCGCAGAGCTGCTGGGGAACTTGGCACCTGAGCTTTGAGCATGCCCAGGAAGGGATTGCCCGCCGTGCTCTACAAGCAAGGCCCTTCACCCCTTTTTGTTGGGGTGATTTTTACTTTTGAGCCCTTCCACTTCTCTTCCCCAGGCACTTCTTGGACACTCCCTCTGGTCCTTCTCCTGATGTTTCTTGGACCTGAGCCCCTTTGGGGGCACCGAACCTCCCATTTCTGTCTCTCCACCTTTCTCTTGCAGTGAGCCTGATGGGAGTCCACCCCAGTGCTTTCCAGCTCTCTACCTCCCTTGCCAGGAAGGGGAGGTACTTTGGATCGAGGGTAGCTAGAACATCCTGTCTACAGCCACAGGGGTATGAATGGCCCCATCTTTTCAGGGGCCAGGCATCCTCCCACAGAGGGCGTTTAGTAACTCCTTGGTGGTTGGAGATGTCCTCAGATACCTGAGCAATAGTGACATGAATCATTCCAGCTGTCTAGTGGCCTGGACATCTTCCTAGGGGCTCTGGGACCACCCCTGCCTTCTCTGCACAGAACAAGGCCTCACTCTCGTACTGCCACGGCTGCAGAAGGTTGTGTTTCTGCGACAAGCGGAAATGCCCATTGCTGAGGCTGGGACACCAGGAATGATGCTGTGCAGACCAAGCCCCCTCCAGTTTCACACAGCGCACGTGTATGCAGTGTTTTGTAATCCCCATAGCAAAGCAAGATCTGCTTAAGCGCCACGGAGAAATTTTTACATATCCCCGCAGCATCATTAGTGCGCAGGTACTGTGAGCTGTCCTTAGAATGTAGAGCATGAAGGTGCAGCCTTCTCAGTTCCAGCAGTGTTTGCACTCTACGGGAGAACAAGATACTGTGGGAAATATTTTGAGACTTCCATCGATTTGCTTTTGTTCCTTGTAGCTGTCCAAGTAAAATGTTCCGCAAAGACGTACGTTACCTC